GGAGTGAAAAAATTTCTTCAGAAATCGGAGTTTTCACACTTTCAAAGTAGTTTATATCACAGACATAGTGACATAGTGAGATTTCGTTGGTGCTTTCTAGATCCAGCATTGGACCAACTACAGCATCCTTTCGGCAGAGCCTCGCAATTTTTGCGACCTTTTGTGGGTAGCTACTACCGTGTGCAACGGTTTTATCCCGTAGCATGAGACAATCCTTGTTGGGTCTATCTGTGCGTCCAGTACTAGACTCCAAAACTCGCACTCGAAGAAGTTCCTGAAAGTTCCAAGATGAAATTACAATACAAATGGACTTCTCGAATATTAACGCAAGATTTCATTATTGAAAGGAATGGTTTTGTAATCTCTTTTTCTGGAAATTTTGCTCGACCTACACTGCAAAATCATGCTTACGCTCTCTTTTCAGCTGCCTTTCATTGCAATGTAACGATTGTAGTCACTTTTCAATTGGGTTACTGCAAAAGCAAAATTGCGGTCAAAAATCACAAAAGGGTAAACAATCGCAAAAACCATGAAGAACTGTGGAACCGCCAAATCGCACTGGAATTTGGCCTAGGTCATGGCATCATCAGTACATGAATCCCTCGAAGATCCTGCAGGATATGAAGCAATTAAAGAATCTCTAAACACCTTTCTTTGCTTTTTGATTAACGCCGTACCATCAGAGAAGACAACAGTTTTGTTGTGTAGGGTTCAGAAATCGTCTACTTCGAACCTTGATTCGTTAGCAAATGCTATTTGGCGTGATTTTCCAAACTTCCGTAATCATTCTTGGGCAAACGATGAGTAAGGCACTTCTATGACAAGAATACGACATCGAAAACCGCCAATCGTCAAATGTGTAGCATAAACGAATGGATTGATGTCACTCTTCTGTCCGTTAAGTTATAAAGTCTGCTTGCCTTGCTCTTGAGCCCTTTCTTCTCCAAGATTGCCTTTGTTATCTCTGTGGTTTCTTGAGATGAAAGGTGCCTTGCTCATTGTTCGCTAAATAACGATTGTGGAAGTCCTAAAAATCACTTTAAACAAGATTTGCTCAGAGATAAAGTTTCAAAGAAGATTCAATTTCCAGCACAGCACGAAATTGTTCTCTTCTCCGAAGATTTTCTGACAATTTTCTAAGGGAGGTCGATTTGGGGTTTTTTTTCGAATCGCATTTTTTCGACCACAATGCGACTGGTGATCAACAAGACTAGGTAACAGCCCTGAGAAAGCTTTTCAGCCCTGAACGATGTATTTGGTAGGACTTTTCAAGTGAGCTTCATTATTTGAAGTTGCGCAATCTTCGAAACATATAGTCTCGGGTGCCGTGGAGCAAACATACTCTTGAGTTGCAAGAGTTGGTTTTTGTCGTTTCTCTACTAGTATTGGCCGCTAACCACAGGAGTCCTGTAAAGCTTCCATGCTGGAGCAAGGAGGGAGTTCCCGGTGATTCACACGCCAACACACCGCCTTCCCTCACAAAAATAGTGCAACTTTTTGCTTAACGTGTCAACTTTTTAGAACCTCTGCTCGGTCTCGCCACGAGCGCTTCTGCTTCTGGTTAACGTAGGGCTGTAAACAGTAATGACGCTCCGCTATTTCATACGAGGAAGGTGAGAAAAAAATGCACATCTGCTCCTCTCGCACTCCTGTCATCGCTGGTCAGATCATGGAGACTCGTTCAATCAAGCCCCAACACATTCTCGTGGGACCGCATACATCATGAAGTGTGCACATGGGAGTTGGTGTGATGACAGCAGAGCCGACTACATTGAGCGGAATGGCTAAATTTGCGGAGGGCGCAGCCGGTTTAAATCCAATGCGATGCCTTCCTGAGATAGGGTTTTCTTCCCGGCGGTAGGCTCCTGAACGAGGAGATTCAACTGCTGTATTGCATGACGACAAGGAGGTGTACCGCGAAGCAAATGTTACTTCTGAGTTCGATCGTTTGCGCGTCAGTGTAGCATGCTTTGGTTGCAAGTCACTGTAAGTAATGCGCTCTTGGTAGGCTTCAATCAGAAATTGCGAAATAAACTTCCGATGTGAGATACAAAAAAGGGGGTGCGAGCTCTCAGGGCGTCCTAATACTTCTTGGATTTGCTGCTGCCTTTGGACCCAGTACCAGTGACAGTGGCTCACTAAAAGATTCATCTTTGCGAGAATCCTATATGGCAGCAAGCCTCTTCTGTCCCTCTCAACGATGTGCAAGGTAATCTGTTGACATCTCAAATTCAGCGGCAAACGTCTCTAAATTATGGGTTGAGCAGAAATGCTTCAATACACATGCATTTTGTTACGAAGCTGGGAAATTATTGCAATTTTAGCAGCTGAACCCTGTCAGCTTCTAGCTAAAACGGTTGAGCGGCCTTACAATTGAGTACTTGTTATTTTTTCAGATGTGAGTTGATATCTTCGCCATTTTCAGAGCATGAAAGCTGCTATTTCACGTTAGTTTCGGAAACATGAAAGCGTGAGCCTCAACGTCGAGTCTCAAAAACTTTCACTCGAGATCACCTCACTTCTTTTACAGGCTCATGGGAAATTGAGAATGGGTCACAGTGTTAAATCCGAAAAGTAACTTGCTTCCAACTGGAAAGGGAGCGGTATAGGCGTATGCATCTACAGTCTGCCACATAAGTGCCTTGTCTTTACCAATCACACGTCTTACACCGCGGCAACTGATGAAATATACGGTGGCATTGGTCTCTCAAAGTTAATTTACCTGCGGTGCAGCAGATAGGAGGAAGATTTCAGTTCGAACTGTGGAAACTGAAACTTAAGGCAGCAATTCTTCACTTCGCAATGAATTTTCTTTCACTTGAGGAGAAAGAGTTATACAAAAGGTGTCAGCTGATAGATTGCAAACAGCGCAGTAACGCAGAGCATTTTTTCAAGCTCATAGCATCCGATTTACCTCGCAGTATAAGCGACATAGAGGTTGCATTTGTGTAATGTAGTAGATGGATTCAACCGTACATTTCTCTCTACACTACCGGCTTGGGAGAACTCCAGGTGCGCAACGCAAATTGCAAACTTTTTGCTTTTGCCTTCGCCTTGCGTTTCCTATTTGCCACAGTCATTCGTCCTTCCCAGTATTTTTCAGAATTCTTAATATACCTTACTCGGAGCTCTTACTAACGCGCGTTGTCAGCTTACATGATGCGGCACAGAAATCATCTCCACAACCGCTCTTTTTCAAACGGCTGTTTTGTGAAAAGTTATGTTCACATTCAGCGAATTCAGAGTCACGCACTTGTATAAATGTTCGTGCCAACGAGCACAAAGGGAACATCCACATGCTCACTGTAAAGAATTTGATGCCGATCGTATCTTTTTATTTGCTTTTTGTGACGTAGGTGCGGCCTTTACTCATGAACCAGTTTCTGAAGACTACATCGATGTTACTTCTATACATATTTCCACTTTTACTGTAGAATGATTGGATACTGAAGGAAGGGTGCAACTTAGAATTTCACAACACTTCCGTGCTAGGAACACCTTTGGATCCCATCCATCGCTCAGTGAGCTGAAACTATGCGTTAAGGGCCAGACAATGTTCGTAACACCTCCTCCCTCCTCTCGGAAATGCTACAGTCATTTATGGAACTCCATTCCAATCTAGCGTGATTTCATGCCATCACGACGCATTCATTTTAATTATGGCAGCAAGAAATTGCTCGATTTGAGCAAAGACACCATCCACTTTTTGAAGAGTCTCTGCAGGAAGTCAATGGATCCCATATTCTCACACAGTGTGGGTGAAAATTGCTGCATAAGTAGGAATCTGCATTCTATTAGCGTTCACGTGTATAACACCTTGAATGACGCTTGTCACCAACAACTCTCACACTCTTGGCGAGGGGACGTTCGCCCTCACACGAATCCGGCACACTCGGAACTGCAAACCGTTCCCTCCTCACTCGAATTTTTCTCTACAGCTGTGCGGTGTGAAAAAGAGAACATCGACGGGAAATGTGCAAATATAAATTGGGAACGCGCACCTCAGCATACATCTTTTCTTGGTCTACTCGGTTAGACTTGCGGGAGAAAACCACTGAGTTATGGGTCGCAGCAGTGTCTGCAGCATGTGCTGCCGACACGCCCACTCGTCCATGATTGGCTACTACGCAAGGCGGAGTGAAAATCGTGTCAAGGACGTGGTCACATCAGTACGACCCCCCTCAGATCGGAGGTCTTGATACGACCCCTCTAATTCGATTTGACGTGGATAAGCGAGTTCCATCACGTACAGCGCAAGGCATTCAGTTGCAGCGAGGCTTACCCATGGTCAAGTTCGCCAAAACCCCGCTCGAAATCGTTGGAATCTACACTTTTGATGAAAAGGCCCCATTCCCACCTTTCATCACCTTTGGAGCAGTATGTGGTAGGGTTAGATAGAGTTGAGTTTACAACTATCGGGCACTGTTGCAATTGATCCAAAATCTTTACACTCGACTCGAAGATATAGGATCAATCAAATTCTGTCGAGGCAGCGTCGGGGGATGCTAAATTTTTCTTGTGAGTTTTTGGCACTTAAAAGGCAATATATCTCTAATTTTGTGGGAACTTGAAAAAAAGGAAGACAAAACAGTGCGTTGAGGATCGGATGGATCTCGGCCACCTAAAAGCCTATCCCTTCTTCACCATTGCAAGCTAATTCGTTGGCAACTCTCAAAATATGTCTAGAATAAATTATCACAACGTAAGCGGCAAGAAAGGGGCAGTCGTCATTGTCGATCTCATCTCAGTAAATGATTCGACCTTCGACCTTCGCCCACGTTGTACAAATCTATTGACAGGTGTTGTACATATGATGAAGACCTGTTGAGAGAAACTGTATTGAAGTAAAGGGTAAAGTAGCGGGCGGTAGATGGAGGAAACGCCTTTGCAGCGCGTGCGCACATGTGAGCTCGGAGATAGAGGGACGGAGCGACGCGTGAACTGAGGGGGGTGAGGAAGGGGTTCCATTTGCCAGGTTTCAAACCGTTTCTGAGTTTTTCTTCATCCCGCCACCACTGACCACCTCTGCTTTGACTGTAGTTAGTAAGCAGACTAGTCCTTTTATTCGTGAACACCGCCTTTGATGTTCTCAACATCAAGACCAGCGCAATTCAGGGGTAGGTCAGCTTGAGTAACGGTAGATGTCACGATGGAGATACAGCCCGTTGGAGATTTAATTAAAGGTGGGCAGAGGACATTGGGAAAAGGGAAAAACGAGAAAATGGGCCTAGCGACCGAGGAATGAGATCCGGACAGTAACCTTCATTACATAATTGCGTTTTCGGCGCAGCTCCTCATAAAGCGGTCCTCCTGTCTCCCCACTAACTAGGTTTCCTCTTCTTCGACCGTCGTCCTCATCACGGAATCCTCCTGTAACATTGAAAAGAAAAAAGAAAAATTGGAAAGATAAATGAGAATGGTCGTGCCAGTTGTCGTACTCTACACAACGCCAATGGTGGCGCGCCACTGTCACTCATTAACTTCATTTGATCCCTTAAGGAGTTTGTATTTGGTTTTCTGAGCCTTACTAATAGCCAAATGCGACCGCCTTTCCAAGGCGCAATGCTGTCGGACAATCTTGCAATTCCCTAGCCACCTCCCTTCCGAGTAGTCTCGATGCGACTTGACCTCTCTTTCCTGTTTCAGATTTGAATCCATCCATGCATAAGGAAGCATTTAGTGGAGTATAGGATCGCCACTCTTGCGCGCGGGAGAGTCCAGATTTTTTATGCAGCGACATAAAGAACTTTTCTGAAAAACTTGCTGGCCTGTTGAAAAGTCAATCCTCCTTATATCTTTGAGCCCAGCCGCACCATTGCTTGTCCTTGCCTTACATGCCCCAAAATTGTAATTATAATGGGAGATGCGTTCAAATATCTTTTTCTTGCAGACTTTCGACACCGAAAGCTGGTTGAATTGCTCGTGTTTGGCTTGAATTAAGTCCTAGCGTTGTGATGCGGGTAAGTCGGTGTGCGGTACGTAAGCACCACTTACGACTTACCACTACTCCTTTCTGCGCGTGGTCGGGTGGCGTGCGTTCGGACCTCGGTCATAAGCGTCTATCATGGACTTCACTGAACATTTGCGTGGTTCTCTCATGCAAGTGTGGTTTCGGAAAGGCAGGAGTGATGAGTGGTTGGTCCACTGGGATTATCCCCCATACTCTGTGAGTGAAATAAGATCCCCTCCGTTCGAATGCTTCAAATGAACGGTTGACCCTGCCTGTGGCAAATTAGCTGATTTGATTTGATCCCTGAAGGCGGTGGTGTTTGATTTCTGCGTCTTTTTAGAAGGCGAATCCAATCGATTTCCAAGGAATCCTAAACACTGCTCCACATCGCTCGCCCGAAATGTGCTCATTTCGTGAACGCTTTTCTTGTGAATCACTACTTATTTCAAAAAACAAAACCTCAGTGAAGTGGTCATATTTGATATCACAATTTCCCTTTCAAAACAAAGAGAAAATAAATAGTGTAAAAAAATTTTTCCAGTCACAGTCAGTGGATTAATGAACCACAACTAAAACGTCCTCAAGGCATCCTTCTCTTTCTGTTTTAGCGTGATTTCACCAACTTTCTTAGTGACGACCGGCGGAAATCCTTTGCAATGCCTTCCGCTTTGCTTAATCGAGTTTATTCTCAACATAACCGTGACAACTGAGAATATTTCAGCAAAGCAGAATTCTGAACTGTGATACAAAATTTTCAGCCTGCTCCAGCTTTCACTTTTTCAATGCAAATTGAATGCAAAATGCAATGCAAAATTCGTCCATGCTTACATGTTTTCTTACAGAAACGATGCGTGCTCTATGTGTTGTGGATTCTATTGGTGCTCCTCAGCGTCATCTTCGCTCAACCAGCACAGCTGAAGAGGTTTGGAGGAGTTCACAATAGGTTAGAGACTGTTGATGCTTAGAAATCTTTTCGCTTTGTTGAGTATTTCGCTCAGAGTGAAACGTCATCATCATCATCACTATGGATGGGGCGGTCCATTCGGCATGGGTGGATACGGCGGATTCGGTATGGGTCCATTTGGATGGGGTCGCTAACCGCAAGAGAAAGCTATGAACAAGAAGAGTGTAGGAGTTCATCTATATTCGGATATCCAACGGTTGCCTGCATTCTTCTTTCTATATTGTCGTTCAAATTTTGATTTTCTACATTTTTATTGACGTTTCATTCAATTTTAGCACAGACTTTGTTGTATCAAACATATGAAATAATGTTGTCTAGAAAAGGGATGAGAGACACGTTCCTATTTTTGTGTAGCAGATAATAGTTACTCATACAAGCCGAGTTGAATTGAATGTCAGCAACAGAGATCACAGTTCCGCTTTCGCTGTTCCCTGTAGAAAGCTTTTCGGATCCTCTCGCTTATTTCCGAAAACCGTTTGTGACTGCATCCTCCCGAACGGAGATTCGCACTTGCTGGTTGGCCGCAAGAGAGACTTGAGCTCGGGTTTTGCCAACCCAATTTCCGGTAGCTCCCAGGTACTATGTGGAATCAATATCTAGCATGACTTCTGGCGAAAGTTCAGTTGAACAAAAGATGAACTGTACGGTTTGATAACCTTGTTTGTGTAGTGCGACGTGGGTTGTGACCTCTTTAAACTGTGCGTGAAAGACGATCAGAAAGAATAAGAATTTATTTCAAAACAAAATCACTAAATGAGTACGTATGGAAAGATCGCTGGTGGACGGAGACACGGAGGACGAGTCGTAGTTGACCAGCTCGAGGGCGACCACCGAATACGGGACCACAGTCGGGTGCACGGCGCGAACTATTTCTTGGCACAAGCCACAAAGGCTTCTTACGTGAGCCACTGAGGCTCCTTCAACTCACTGCCACAAAGGCCGATCAGTTCAAGCCGCTTATCAACTCAAGCCACTAAGGCTTCTTATACCCAGCCTTAGGCTCAACTCACTCAGTCACTTAGGCTATCTCTTGCTCTCCTCTATTGAGCTTGGACCCTCTCTCTCACGGGCCACTGCAGCTCCTAGAACACCTGCCACCTGACTCCTGAACCCCTTTTATAGGAACATTCCCGCCCGAACCGTTTCCCTCTGGCAAGGTGGTCTCCTATGACCACCCGCGATCAACAACCACCGCCTCCTCCTCGACCTACCGTGCTCAAACCAGCTGATCATAGCTGCTTGTTAGAGACAGGCATATCTTCCCCTAACAGAACTCGATTATGAAGGCTCAGGCAGGAACAGTCGGTATTCCTCTATATTTCACACGAGCGAGATTGGAGTCGAACACTGAACAACTCATGCCTATCAGATCTCCGGCACAACCGTGCCACCTGTGAGTATCCAATGTTCTCTTCCTGTGGAAACCAGAGGACTAAATTGCTCTGTAAATGAGAGACGTACTCGACATTAGCACCGCGCGACATCCCCCCTTCTATAGTCTCAGCAACCAGGTTCTGTTATAACATGTTCTCCTCGAAGGCTTATCAGTTGATCCTCTAGCTAGACTGTCGATATACAACGAGCCCAGGGACGTGTGGATTGACAAAACACATTTCTCCTTCAAATAATCGCGTGCTGAAAAGTGTTATCAAGACTTACGCAGTCGGCCATGCTTGTCAGCTCATCTAGGGAGCAATGCTCGCACTTTCAACACATGCAAATCATAAGCGGAACACGAAGCATCGATTACTATCGACCATCAAAAACCAGGGAATCATAGTTGCAAGTGTCTGAAAACGCGCTTAGCCCAATATTTCGTCTTACAATAAAGTATTATCTAGCACATAAAATGTTGCTGTTCATAGGAATTCGTTCAAATCCTCTGCTGAGTGAAAGCAAGAGCAATAATATGATATACTGAACCTGATGTGTCAGCGCTTTTCATTCGCACAGTTTATGAAAAGATGAACAACCAAAAAATGATCGCTCTGTGAAATGCGAACTAGATTCGACATCTTCTCAAAAGTGACATGTGAATACGTAGCACAAAAATGCAAAGCAAACTGGTGCAAAAGTGGGTGTGGATGCCCATCGCCCAGGAAGAAGTGAGATAAAGCTTGATCAATTGCACCAAAATCACTCTGGCTTTTCTGAGAGACGTAAAGTTTGACAAGATCTATTCGCAGCACCGTAGAATCTCTGGAAGATGTTTTAACGCGTAAGGCTGGTGTCTGAGTCCGCGATCCGTCGCGCGATTTTCCGCAATTCGCAAAAATTGCAGTGCCATTTGACATTTGAAACACTGAATATGAAACAAGTAGAATCATGAACACTCGTCATCAACCATCACCACCGAGAAGAAAAGGCGGCGGGTGAAGAGCACCTCGCATTATTGAATCGAGACATTAGTGATTCCTATTTCTTGACGAATCAAGGACTCTGACACCAACTCAACAGTGGGTCGTATTATGACAGACTCTTTGTTCCAGCAGTCTACATAAGGTTCGGTATTCCGTATGCGTCCTACTTCATCTAGCTCTTAGTAATCCACAATTCAGAATATAGGAATTCCATTCGTATGCGGGCACCGTAGGTACTCAGCCAATCGGAAGTAAGTCGCAAAAGAATCATCTCTCTCAAGCCGCTGTGAAAAGTTAGCAGGTATGCGTGCACGTTTGTACGAGTTTCCTAAGCTGCTAGATACACAATATACGGTCGCAAGAGCATTCTTAGCACGTTAGATTGGTTCAGTCGTAATTTACGATGGCACTGGAGTGCGCAATGGACTGAAGCACTGCTGTAAGCGTTTTTAAGGACACGCCCGGGACCTCACTAGTAGAAGTTGTGACATCATTCAACTCACCGTTAGGTCGCTAATCGTCATGAGCTTGCAACCATCCAACACCTCTACAACCTTCTCCTCACGCTGCGATTATTGTCGAGCACAGCGGGCTCTCTCGTACGGCGTGCTCTCGTGCGTGTTTTGTTCTCCTTGGTTGCTCTGTCACTACTTCGTATCCCATTCGACCTTACTGAAAGTTTAGGCTCCTAATGTAGCTGATCCGAGCTGCAACCTCTTTATCTCATTCGAACTTGCATCTTCGTTGGACAGAACGGGAATTGAAGAGCATGGTACTCACTATTTAGCTCATAGACGCGCCGTACACTTGAAACTCAATGACATCTGAGTCGAGTCACTGTTCCCATCTACTTCAACAGACCACCGCTGGTTCAACTTTCGCGGTAGCACCCACCATTGGGTGCCGTTGTTTCACACGGTGACGATATGGCACCCACCGGTGGGTGCCACTATGTTCGCCGCGTGGGACAATGGCACCCAATGGTGGGTGCCACCTTAAAATTTCCTCTTTGTGCATTTAAAACATTTGTAACACCCCAATAATTATAAGCAAGTTCCATAATATCTATGCTAGCACGGCTTACAGAAATGTTTACTAAGAGCTAATTTATATAGAATTTTAGAATGTGCCATTTAGCTCGCCAGCATATTAATTGGGTTTTGCATTATTAGGCTGAAGATTAATTACTAATCAGGACTTCTTCGTCTTCTCATAGCCCTCAGATATGGGAAGGGGTTTGAAGTGTATCGAAAATTCTCTTGGACACAGACTTTCAGAAGTTTGCTTTCCTTCCTCTTGAACCCGAATCTCATTTCAATTTGGAATTCTCTTAAAGACAGTATGAAAGCCTAGAACTGCAGTTATACCTGGTGTACTGTTAAAGTCAAAAATTCTATAGAAAAACTGCTTAAGGGACAATTTTGCCCAATTGTGAGCGAGAGTTGGGCGCGCCAAAAAGAGGCGTGGTCCCATGAGCAAGCTACGTGCAAATCCGCATTGTCGTCAAAGGGTTAAATAGTGTAGGATACGATCTAATAAATTCTTCAGTATGCCGTATTGACGTGCAACGTCTGTGCTTACACAACCCTTTTAGGCCGGGGTAAGGAGCAGTAGGAGCATCATGTTGCTGCGAGCGCTGCAGAGCGAAAGGGGCGGGAAGCCGGTGTCAGACTTTGCGAATTCGTGGATACGCTAGTGACTCGTGGTGTGGGAGCGTTGCACTAGTGGTTTGAACGATATACAGCAAATTGGGGCGTTTAGAAATGGCGAGAGCCTTTCTCGTTCGCACGTTGACCCTCGCCACTTTCCCGGGCTCACGAAGGCATAACAGAGTGAGAGGGCATGAGAGGCAAGGAAAGTGGCGAGAGTTCACATGTGAACAAGAGGGACCCCCGTCGCTTTCATACACTGTTGAGTTACTGGTACATACTCCGCATGCCTCAGCTTTTTGTGCCGATTAGAGTGACCAATCGGTCAATAACTTTTGTGATTGGTTTAGCCGTCCATCAGCTGAGCTCAGCCGGACCTCGCTTTCGATTGGGGGTGAGCGGACTAGAGAAGGAGCATGTTTCATCCGATCAAAGCGAAATCGCTTCTGTTTGGACCGGAAGAGTAGAGGAACCGACAAGGGCACCATGAGGGTGGTCTTTTTATCTTACGAATGCTGCGGTTATTTGGAATAAACGTTCTCTTTGGATTCGCCCATGAAACAGCGAAATCAATTCCAGATTGGGCCGCGCAATAAGCGCATGATAGGATACCAGGTGTGAATATCTGGATTCCTCGGCTAATTCTAATACGAACTCGTTTCGGATAGATTTGATAATTCTCTGACGTCTATAGTTTTGTCGTTTCGTTTCATTCACAAGTACTTTTGATTTTTAATCAACTGCGAGACGCTATCTCACATGGCGTATATAATAAATAAATATGCTGAAAGCCACCGAGATTAAAAGGAAACCGCGAAAGTGCTAGTTGAGAGTATATGGCTGTTTAAAAATACTGGAACGTCAAAGTAAATCTTTTTAAGAAGAGATAGTAGATTATCTCAGTGGACTTCAAAGAGAGATGTGTTGCGTTGCGCATGCTTTCCATTTGCAATGTCTATATCTTGTATAACAAATCGGAAAGGCCGACAATACAAAGCTTTAGGAGGACTGGCTCGAGCTAAAAAATTTGTGTGGCAGAGCAGTAACACACTAGCACTTTGGACACGCAAAGCAAAAGCGCTTGCGGCGGAGGCTTCCCGCGCCCCTTTTGCTCCGTACCGCTAC